AGGCTGCATGAAATTAAAGGGTGTAGATGAATGAAACGTAACAGAGAATCCACAAAAATACATCTGACTGATTTCTGACAAAGGGGCAACAGCAACTGACTGTAGGAAAGACAGCTTTTTCAATAAATTATACTGAAATGATCAGATATCCTTTATCTAAGTCTCACATTTTATATAAAAATTAAACTCAAAACAGATCACAAATTCAAACGTAAACATAAAACAATATATTGACTTCTGGGGGGAAAACACAGAAGGAAATACTGAGAATCTAGGGTTTCTATGATGACTAATTTTATGTGTCCACCTGACTAAGCCATGGTGCCTACATATATGTGAGGACATTTTGGCATGAGAGTAACATTTTAAAAAGTGGACTCTGAGCAAAACAGATTGCTCCCCGTAACGTGGGTGGGCCTCACCCCATTAGGTGAAGCCAAGCATCAGACAAAGGCCTGGCCTCTGCCAAGCAGGGGGCAGTCCTGCAGCACTGCCTTCTGACAGGAAGACGCCAGGCTGCCAGGCCAGCCCACAGACCCTGGCCTGGGAGGCCTCAGGTGGTGTGAGCCTAACGCTGACACTGATTCCCTCTCCCACCCCTCGTTTACATGTCGGCACATCCCAGTGGTTCTGTTTCCCCCAAGAGGGCTCACTCAGTTACACCAGAAGTTCTTAGGCTTGGCATGAGGGAAAATGGACCCTTTTCATAAATTGGACTTCATTAAAATTAAAAACTCTTGTACTGCAAGAGAGCCTAAAGGGTAAAGACAAGCTACACACTGGGAGCAAACCATGCGTGTGACAAATGGCCAGGATCTAGCGCATAAAGACCTCGGAACACTCAAGAGCAAGACACAAACAGTCCATTACAAAACGGACAGAAGACATGAAACACGTCAGTGAGGAGGATACAACTGACGACAAAGCAGCATTAACAGGCGCTGGGGAAACACAAACTAACTTCACAATGCGCCGTGATCGCATGCCTGTCAACATGGCTAAAGTCAAAAAACTGCGAAGCTGCCAGTGCTGGTGAGCAGAGACGCTGCATCACACCCACAGGTGCCCGGAGTGAACGTGAAACGTGTGAAACGGAGCTCAGACACTCACAAAACAGCGGGGCAGCTTAAAAACCAAACATGCCGCTGGCAATTACACCTGTGGGCATTTATCTCACACAAATGGAAACTTACATTCACCATGAAATCCTGCACAGAAATGTTTATGGCAGCTTTTTCGCAGCCGTGGAAAACTGCAAACAGCCTAGATGTCCTGAGGGGTGAAATGCTAGAAATGGTGGCACACCCATTCCACAGAGTACTACCCAGCAGCCACAGGGAACAAACTATGCACAAAGCAACTCGGCCCAATCTCTGAGAACCACGCTGATGAAAACACCAATCCCATGGGCTGGGTAGTGCACCACTCCATTTATGTAACATTCTGGAAATGACAAAATTACAGAAATAGAGATCAAATTAGTTCTCCATATTGGGTAGCCAGGGTTCAGGAAGGATGGGATGGGAGGGAAGCGGGTGTGGCTATAAAAGGGCAGCACCAAGATCCTCATGGTGACAGAAACACTGTAGCCACTGTTGACATCCTGATTCTAATGTTACAGTCCAGTTGTGTAAGAAAGGGTACAGGGGATCGCTCCGTGTTATTTGCTTATGGGTCTACAATTATCTCAAAATGAAAAGTTCTACTAAAGAAGACGGATCGATAGAGATGCAAGTCAGAAAAATGAAAATCGAGCAGAGACAGCGGTTGGCCGCATGGATATCAACTGAAAGGAGTTCAAGGCTGGTTACAGAGTGTATATATGTAAAAATTCATGAAGCCACACATGTAAGATTACTACAATTCACAATTCGATTATATGCTACGTGTGGATTAAGAATTATTTAAAATTGCCATTGCATCAGCCCTGTTGCTATAACAGCATTGATTATGTGTAAACTTCTGAACGCCCGCAAGTACGTCACCATGCCGCCAGGGGCCTCTCTAGCAGAAGCCGTCTAAGTGACACGGTAGAGTCAGAAGCCACACTCGAGGTGGTCTCAGGAGCAAGAAATGAGGAAATGCAGGGAAGCAAATACAGACAGCTCTCTGCAGAGGATGCCAGTGGAGGGAAGGGGAACACAGCGAAACGCAGAGGGGCAGGCCGGAGTGAAGAAGAGCTTGATTAAACCTGAGTCAACGTAAATGTTGATGGGAAAGACTCGATAAACAGGGAGTCCAAAGCCATACGGACAAAACACTATCACCACCAGCACTAGCTTCGGGAAAAAGCGGGGAGAGCAAAGACGAAGAGACTTGCCCTGTGACGGGACAGGCCAGGCCTGCGATGCACCAAGGAGGAAGACGACCACTAGGAAGACAGGGTCCTCACAGGCACGACAGTGGAAATAATAACAACAGCAGCAGATCTTATTGACTAAAAAGGTATTTCAAAATGTTGGTGGAGAAAAACAGAATGAAAAGGTAAGTTTATTCTGGTGCAAAAAAAACTAAAAATTCATGCAAAATGTGTTCATAATACATGTTTTTCATCAACTTTTTGAAGACCCCCTCCTACATGCGGATTTTGAAATTTTTTGCACAACAGTAAATCTACGTCTTAATTCCACAGGCTCTGTGAGGTACCCTGTACTTCCCGTGACTGCCAGCCCCCAATGTGCCCCCTCCTCCCCCATCCTCAAGTCCTGATCTCACACTCCGGGGCAGCATCCTCCCACAGCGAGGAGGGCGGAAGCGCGCGAGCAGCAGGACACAGCAGGCCAGGACTGTGTGTGTCCCAGGATGCGGGCACACTGGCAGCAGCTTCCACCTCTGCCTCCTCTGGGGAGAGCAGGCACGAAGAGGCCGGCTTTGTGAGTGAGCGCAGAAGCAGCTCTCCTGGCCTCAGCCACGCCCCGTCAGAATGCAGCCCATGAGAGACCCCAGACTTTTGACGACACCCAACCAAGCTGCCTCTGATGGAGTGACCCGCAGAAACTGGGAGATAATTACTGTTTACCGCTTGAAGCCACCAGATGTGGAGGTAATTAAGCGGCAATAGCTACCTACTGCACTTATTATGGGCCTCAACTGCCTGTGATCCGTGAGCAGAGGAAGAAAACGAGCCACATGGAGGTTAAGTAATTGTCCCCAATTACCACACAGCTGGCAAGTGTATGACCCGACTCAAATCTAAAGCCAGCCCTGTTAACTACGGTGCAAAAAGCACGCGCTCCCCAAGGCCAAAGGCGCTCCCACGCCACAGCTTCTATTCTGGCGGTGAGGCAGAAGGCAGGGCTATCTGCTAGGAGCAGGGTAAAACACGTGAAAAAAGGAAACGGCCCGGGTTTCACGCAGTTGCCCTGCAGAGCTGGAAACGGGGCTGGCTTGGGAAATCCAGGAGGACTTCCTGCAAGAGTGTTAAGGCCCCAGAAGAGGTCAGGAGCCATGAACCTCCAGTGCCATGGACGTGAGATGGCAAGCAAGAAGAGGGTACGGAACAGCTGGCGTATGTCACTGTCCAACATAACGTGAAGTAGGAAGCGGTGGTGATGGCTGGAAGGAACAGAAGACACGCGTGCTTCCAAGGCCCGTCAGGTGCACAAGGAGCCAGCAAGCACCACGTACTCCGCGTCTGAGCATCACACAGACTGAAGACAGGCCTGGGAAGACGACGAGGACGAAACTGACGGTGCGACTCTGCGGAGCCGCCCTGGTCACAAGCAAACACCAGAAGTTTCTCTAGACAATCTCCCCTTTTCCCTAATTCCATCCCCAAGTGTTACAAATTACAGCCCACGGAAAGAATGTACTTGCACGGCATTCAGACCACACCTACGACCAGCCTCACGGTTATTCATGGCCTTAACCTGATGAGGAATCTGACAACAGAGTCTGAGGCCAAAAGTCACTAATTATTAAACTCACTTAAAATGGGACATTTCCAAATATGTCCAAGTTTGGATTTCACACTTTTTTTTTTTTTTTTGACAGGTAAAGTTATAGACAGAAAGAGAGAGACAGAGAGAAAGGTCTTCCTTCCATTGGTTCACCCACTAAATGGCTGCTACGGCCAGCACTGCACTGATCCAAAGCCAGGAGCTGGGTGCTTCCTCCTGGTCTCCCATGCAGGTGCAGGGCCCAAGCACTTGGGCCATCCTCCACTGCCTTCCTGGGCCACAGCAGAGAGCTGGACTGGAAGAGGGCAACCGGGACAGAATTCGGCGCCCCAACCGGGACTAGAACTTGGGGTGCCGGCGCCGCAGGCAGAGGATTAACCAAGTGAGCCACGGCGCCGGCCCCCCCCATGATTTTTTTTAAAATGACTTCCCATCACTTGAGAAATAAACTGGCATAGATCTAATCTCAAAAGAAAGTTGCATAATGAAAAAAATAATATAAAAAAATGACAGATGCAAAATTGTTTCTGGGCTAATAATTCAATGCCATCAATTCTGGATAATGACACTTCAGACCCAAAAGCACATGAATGAAGATAAAGGGGCATGAGCTATTTTTTTTTTTTTTTTTTTTTTTTGGCACTCAAGGTTAATAAACAAGTTCCACAGAACGAATGTCAACAGTCTGGTGACGTCTTTCCTCATCTACATACTATCACCCAGCAACTACTGCAAGCAAGTCCGGAGGAGTACTGCCAGACACAGTAAAGCCTTTCCCAGTGAAAGAAAAGCCATCGCTGTATAAAGCAGTCCTTTCTGCTTCATGCGCAGTCTACATACAGAAAAGCCGTCCACACTGATCTACAGTGCGCCAGCTCTGTAGGGGTGCGAGAAGAATCGCAAAAGCCACAAGGTGGCCTCTAGGAGCTCCACAAGTTACGTCACCTATTGTCTAGCTCTAAATCAGGATAAGGCCCACGTGTCCTGAAAATCCCGAGCAACACGCAAGTCTTAAGGCCTACAAAGACCTTAATTACGAGAAGAATCCATGACCGCACTTTTATTAAGGTGGCGCGAGGCTGCATCTCGGTTTCCGCTTACCCTGATCTGCTCAGTGGAGCTGCTGCTCAGCTCGTCCCCGGACTCCGAGTCCTGGTGGACCTTTTCCGAGCCTTCTCCCGCAGAATCACACGACTGCTCCTGGGAGAAGCTCGTTTTCTCCACGTCCAGGAACTCCGGGCCAGGAAAGTGACCGAATAAGCGTGTCCTGTTCTGGCTGGGCACTTTAGGAGAGTGAGAGTCATGGGTGAACTTCCCGTTATTGTGGGTCAGGTCCAGGCTGAGGTTGAGGGTCTGACCTGCATTGTAACTGGGTCCGAAATTCTGATTGGCATCACGGACGAGACCGGTTCCTTGAACGGACGCCGGCTTTCCGAAGCTCGAGAGCTCGGGCAGCTTGTTCACATTTTCTGTCGACCTCTGCAGGGGCAGACTCTGTATCATCTTTATGGAATTGCTGGGCAGTCCCACCGGCGGCTTAACGGGCGGCATCAGAGCTTTTCGCGTGACCTCCTTCACGTACTGGGCTGGCACGTAGAAGGCTTTGGAGCTCTCATCCGGCTTGACCTGCCACCAGTCGTCGTTGGTCTTTTTCACCAACATGTACCGCTCGCCCTGCTTGATCACGATCTTCCTGTCCTTCGCTTCATACTCATAGTCATATTCCACTTCGATATACACTTGTCCTGGAACCAGCTTCCCCCTGTCAGCCATGTTGACTCAGTGGGGTTCACCTCTCAGACAGGATGATGTGCCACATTCTGGCTTTATTCGGCTCGCTGCACGGACGTAGCTATTTTGTTTAAGGAAAGGAAGAGAATGCACAAAAAAGTAAATATAATCTGGATTTGATATTTACTCACAAACAGCATACAGTTCAGGTCATCTTCAAATCTCAAACTTCTAAAAGTACACATGTGTCTGTCTAGCAGTGTATTAAAACACTGTCACTCTGGGGCCAGTGCTGAACTGCCAGCATCCCATATGGGCGCTGGTTCTAGTCCTGGCTGCTTCTGTTCCCATCCAGCTCTCTGCTATGGCCTGGGAAAGCAGTAGAAGATGGCCCATGTCCTTGGGCCCCTGCACCTGCGTGGGAGACCAGGAAGAGGCTTCTGACTCCTGGCTTCGGATCGGCACAGCTCCAGCCATTACAGCCATCTGAGGAGTGAACCAGCAGATGAAAGACCTCTCTCTCTGTCTCTACCTCTCTCTGTAACTCTTTCAAATAAATTAAAAAAAAAAAAAAAAAGAAACTAAAAAACAAACCACTTTGACTCCAACTAAGCTACACTGTTCAGTAACTTAGGACTGGAGCACACACTAAGTAGTCAGACGCAACTATCAGATGTGAGAGTTGAGAAGAACGTAACTTTCCATGATGACATCACACTTTCCTTCACTTTCTCAGAAAAGCTCACGGATGATAATACGTAGTGAGCGCCTTCCAAGAGCCAGGTGCTGAGCTCTTAGCTCCAATACACACCAGGGAGGAGTCTTTATGAAGTTAGACCTACACAGTGATGCCACATTAGTATTTTACTCTTTATTTTCCAAAGGATCATGAAAATTATTACTGAGCTTAAAAACATTTTTAATTACCCAATTATACAAGTTAATTTCCTAATTTAAGAACAGCATTAAAATAAGGTAAAACACACAGAGATAAAGGAAAAACTGCTAGTTTACTTGGTTTCCCTTTAGGTTGAACATCACAAATGCCAACAAATAACTATTCATTTGTAAACACTGAACAACCACTACCTTCTCCAATTCAAAGTCCATTTTTTATAAAGATTTTATTTATTTATTTGAGCGGCAGAGTTACAGACAGTGAGAGGGAGAGAAAGAAAGCTCTTCCGTCCGTTGGTTCACTCCCCAAATGGCTGCAACGGCTGGAGCTGTGCCAATCCGAAGCCAGGAGCCAGGTGCTTTTTCCTGGTCTCCCACACAGGTGCAGAGGCCCAAAGACTTGGGCCATCTTCTACTGGTTTCTCAGGCCACAGCAGAGAGCTGGATTGGAAAAGGAGCAGCCAGGACTAGAACCAGTGCCCATATGGGATGCCAGCGCCGCAGGTGGAGGATTAACCTACTACGCCATGGCACCGACCCCTCAACGTCTATTAAAGACAGCCCTAGAGAAGGACACTGTAGCACAGCAGGTTAAGTCACCACTTGGGACAAGCATCTCCCCTATCAAAGTGCCTAGGCTGGAGTCCTGGCTCCTCTGCTCTCCCAATCCAGCTGGGAGGGTGGGGGCGTGGGTACAGGAAATGACAGCCCAAGTATTTGAGCTCCTGCCACACACGTGGAAGACTCTCTGCTTCAGCCTGACCCAGCCCTGGCTGCTGCAGGCATTTCAGGAGTAAACTAGAGGATGAAAGAGATCCGTTCATTCTCACTCTCACATTCTTTCTCTCTCTCTCCCTCTCTCCCTCTCTCTCTCTCTCTCTCTCTCTCTCTCCTCTGACTCCCCGTGTGTGTGTCTCCCTCTGCCACTCTGCCTTTCAAATAAATAATAAAACTTTTTTAACAAGTCTCTAGATTGGTTTGAGAATCTAGCATTTTTATTCCTATACTAATCCCAGGATATTTTAGTACCTCAAAGAATACAGCACTCGAGCTTCAAAATGATCACAGCACCCTGAGAGTGCTACAACGTAAGTCACCCTCCCACTGCTGAGGGTGAGCTGTATTCCCCAAAGAGACATGCAAGTCTTAACCCCAGGACCTTTTTGGAACTAGGCTTTCTGGATGGAATCCAGTGAAGGTGAGGTTACACTTGATTATGGTGTCATTAGATGCAGTGGCAAATCTGGAGCCACAGAGCACAGAAAGGGAGGAAGACCACATGAAGACAGAGAAGAGACTGCAGTAAAGCAGCCACCACAAGTCGAACTCCAAGCCAGGGACTGACAGCAACCACCAGAAGTCAGGAAGTGCCAAGGAAGGATTCTCCCTGGGGGCCTTCACAGGGAATACGGGTCTGCCAACACCTTGGGACTGGACGTGTAGCCTCCAGAAGTATGAGAAATTACATTTCTGCTTAAAAAAAAAGTTATTTATTTATTTGAAAGGCAATTACAGTGAAAGAGGGAAAGATCTCCCATCCACAGCTAACTCCCATTGGCCACTCACCCAGGCCAAAGCCAGAAGCCTAGAACTCCATCCAGGTCTCCTGCATGACTGCAGAGGCCTGAGTTCTTGGGCCCTCTTCCACTGCTTTTCCAGGTGCATCAGCAGGGAGCTGGATAGGAAGCGGAGACACTGGACTGTAAACCAGTGCTCATCGTAAGTCAGCCTGTGGGTCCCTGGGGCAGCTCCAAGTCTCTGCTATTTTAAGCCACCTTTTTTGTGGTCCAGGTTGAGTATCCCTAACATGAAAATCTCAAATGCTCCAAAATCTGAAACTTTTTAAAAACTTTCCTTACACTTCCTGATGTGGGCAAACTGCTGGCACTCAGTGGAGGCAATGCTAAACCAACTGAAAAACTGGGTAAGCTGCAGGTTCCATGAGCACCTGCCGGTTCCCCCTGCACCTAGGCACTGAGCGCTCAGAGGTGCTCTGTAGCTACCACTCTGCACAGACAACAGTCTTCTCTGTGGGAGGTGAGGTCCATTAAACCCATCAGCAAAGAAATTAGCTACTGATAGAATTTCAGGAACCAAAAGTACTTTCTACATAAACTATCTGAATCACAAATGTAATAGAGTAACACCGCTTCGAAAACAACAAAAAACTTACCTTAGGAGCCCGATATCCTGTGTTACATTTAAACCTACAAAACAGAAAGAAAACAAAAAGTTCATTAATTTTAACCAGGAGTGCTTAACTTAAGGAAGACTAGGAATTTAATGCAGCTTACAGTTTTAGAATCATAACTTCTTTTCTGTAACAGCCATAAGGAACGGATGGCAGTTTTATACGTTTTTGTGTTGGGCCCCACCCTTCAACCATGCATAAGCACTGTCCTGAGAGCCGCTAAGGACTGCTTTACCACAGCCCTCCCATTTCCAGTCTCAAACTCACTTCTGTCCCTTACTTTAAAAAAAAAAAAAAAAAAAAAGATTTATTTATTGGTTCGGCACAAGTCCTGGCTGCTCTACTTCTGATCCAGCTCTCCACCATAGCCTGGGAAAGCAGTGGAGGATGGCTCAAGTCCTTGGGCCCCTGCACCCCTGTGGGAGACGGGGGAGAAGCGCTTGGCTCCTGGCTTCAGATCAGCCCAGCTCTGGCCGATGTAGCCATTTGGGGAGTGAACCAGCAAATTGAAGACTTTTCTCTTTTTTTTTTTTCTCTCTCTCTCTCTCTCTCTCTACCTCTCTATAACTCTGTCTTTCAAATAAATAAATAAATCTTTTTTAAAAAGATTTATTTATTTAGGGGCTGGCACTGTGGCATAGTAGGTTAAGCCTCCCCCTGTAATGCTGGTATTCCATATGGGCACCAGTTTGAATCCCAGCTGCTCTGCTTTCGATCCAGCTCTCTGCTACGGCCTGGGAAAGGAGTAGAAGATGGCCCAAGTCCTTGGGCCCCTGCATCCATATGGGAGACCCAGAAGAGGCTCCTGGTTTATGCCTGGCCCAATCTTGGCCATTGCAGCTATTTGGGGAGTGAAACAGTGGGTGGAAGACCTCTCTGTAACTCTGCCTCTCAAAAAAATAAGCAAATCCTTAAAAAAAAAAAGATTTTCTTATTTATTTATTTGATAGGCAGAATTAGAAAAAGACAGTGACAGAGAGAGGAAGAGAGAACCCACACCTCATTAATGAAGTGTCTGGATTTGGGTCCTAATTCCACTTCCAAGTTCAGCTTCCTGCTAATGTAGACCCTGAGATATAGTGGTGATGGCTCAAGCCCTGACCACCCGGGGAAACCTGGATGGAGTTCACAACTCCCAGCTTGGGTCGCAGCCCAGCCCCAGTTGTTGCAGACATCTGGGGAGTGAACCAGTAGACGGGAGATCTCTTTTACTGCCTGTCTCTTTGTAAAATACATAAACAAATAAATGAATGATTAGGAGTTCTAGCACATGCCCCTGCAGATTAGTTACTAATTAGAAAAAGGGGAACAGACATTTACAATGGAGAGATCTGAGGCTGTTCAAAGGTGCGAACTCAGCAACACTAACAGTGAGACAACCGGATGATGTGTGCTTCCTAGTATGAGACAACTAAACACACACATCCCCGCCCACACTGCATTCTTGTCAAAAAGCATGCTTCACTGCGAGCAATTAGGAAGTAAACAAATCCAGAATGTGAGAGACTCCAGCAGACAAGACTTGAGTTCTTCAAAAACAAATTCACGAAAAATAAAAAAGGGAGATTCTTCTAGATTAAAAAAGGTTACCGGCACACTAGGAACCAAATGTACCTGACTGTCTAAGAAGCACCAAAGCCTGCCATATCCAAAGTCGACTTCTCTCTGCACCTCGCCTTGCCCCGTGGGCTCCTCCCAGGGCCTTCTCACCGCCTTCCACACGCTCAGCCTCCACTTTCATGTGCTGCCTGGACGTTAGTCACTACGTGCGTTAGTCCCTCACCTCTGTCAATTCTTCCCCACAACTCTCCAGATGCCGACACTGAGACATAGTTGCGCACTGTGCAACAACAGTTTGCGCGATGACAGACTGCCTATGGGACAGCGGTCCCGTAAGATGACAATGGCACTGAAAAAAATCCCTCTCGTCTGGCGTTGGGACGAGACGTGGGAGCACAACAGGTGTTTGTGGTGATGCTGGCGCAGACAAACCTACTGTGCTGCCACAGGGGACACGAACACTCATGGCAATAATCAGCTGTGCCACTGGGCCACGTGTGTGTCTCGCTACTTTTTAACCACTATCTTAGAGTATGCTGTGTAACTGAAAGAACCCGTATTTCCTGTAAAATGGCACGCTGTGGAGTGACTGACCTCCGCCACCTCGGTGTGTGTGGTGCGCTCTGTGAGGTCCACATAAGGACGAAATCACCTGAGGACGGATTCTCAGAACAAACCTCACCAGGAAGCAGCACATGGCTCTGCTTACCCTTGGGACAGGCTGGATGTGTGGTTATCTTTTCTCCCCAGGGAGGCAATACAGTAATGAGGACGTGCAGCTAGTTCCCAGAGGTTACACAGCTCAGCATTCTGTCACAGGCCAGATATTCAGGAAAGCACGAAGAGGAACACGCAGACTTCCACACCAGTGCTGAGACGCCACAGGGCGGCAACAGTGGGCTAAGGGTCAGTCCAGGTTCCACCTCTCTGACCACCAGGCTTCGGGACCACACCTTCCCAGGTTCTACAGTGGCAAGTATGAAGGAGAAGGTGTGCAGAAAGATAAGCAGGTCAGTTTCACTGAATTCCTCAGAAGATGTGCACATCTTACACATTGGGGGCAGAGAAGTAAAAGATGTGAGCAGGTGTGTGTGTGTGTGCGCACATGTGCGAGGATATCACTGTTCTTGTTGAAACATGAGGAAGAAGTTTCAAAGGCAATGAGGGCCGGCACCACGGCTCAATAGGCTAATCCTCCGCCTGTGGCGTCAGCACCCCAGGTTCTAGTCCCGGTCGGGGTGCCAGATTCTGTCCCGGTTGCCCCTCTTCCAGGCCAGCTCTCTGCTGTGGCCCAGGAAGGCAGTGGAGGATGGCCCAAGTCCTTGGGCCCTGCACCCGCATGGGAGACCAGGAGGAAGCACCTGGCTCCTGCCTTCGGATCAGCGCGGTGCGCTGGCCACGGCAGCCATTGGAGGGTAAACCAATGGCAAAAGGAAGACCTATCTCTCTGTCTCTCTCTCTCACCAAAGGGGGCAGGCAACAGAGAAGAAGTAGTCAAAAAAACACCGACACAGGAAAGATGATGAGACACCAAGGCAAGAGATGGGCGAGGAGGGATACAATGGGAGCGAGAACGGGGTGGAGACCAGAGTTCTGTCCCATACTGGGGTGGGCACTGGGGAATGAGGCTGGGAAGCAATGAAGAGAAAATATTAAAGATCATAAACATCCAAAAAGTCACAAGTAGCAACTACATATTATAATCCAAAGTCTAGGGAAAAGTTGAATAAAAAAGAAAAGTCTTATTAGAAATTATTGATCCAAAGAGAATTAAAATTATGGGACAGCTCTACATACATACATCTAAGTGGAAACTATCTGCAAGTCTGTGAATGCCTTACTTTGAAGCATAAGTAGTAAAACAAAGGCTTATAGTTTTCATTGCAGTCTGTTTCGTTCTCTGGTCTTCAAACCTCTGGCTGCTTCGGTGTAGCCCAGACTGAACTCTGCCCGTTCTGTCACCCTCTGTGGCATTTTGGTTAGAATCTTGCTGATTCAATTGCAGTGCGCTCGGGGCGCAACACTCCTCTCTCTGTAATCTATTCTATTCTCATCACCGCACTCCTCCTTCCACATGCAACCCACACACTTACAGACGCTAAACATCCAACCACCAGTATATATATAAAACCCCGCTAGCGACTGCCCACTATACCCTGCTGCTTTTCCCAGCAGGCTCTCCGTGCCTCCTACCAGCACTTTGTATTCCTCCCTCATTCCAACCACTTCTTCCTCATGTTTCAACAAGAACAGATACCCTCGCACACGCACACACACACACACCTGCTCACATCTTTTACTTCTCTGCCCTCAAGTCAGATGCAGAACCTTTATCATGCTATTTTATAATGAATAGCCTCCTCCTTCCCATCTGCCAATTTTTTACATTCTCTTTCCTGCATAACTACTAAGGAGCCTACAACAAATGATACAGCTCAGCAAATGCTATCTTCCTCCCCCAGGAAATCTGTTTTCAGCAGTTCCATCTCTCAGTAAGATATCCTCACTAGGCAGATCAAACAAAAGTAAACAGTGAGAGGAATAAATGTACTTATAATTAACAACTTTCCAGTTTATGGCAAACCAGATATGTACAATCTACTTAGCAATTCTTATACTGTGAACAATAAATTAGTAATACGGCCTAAAACACATAAGTAGTAAGCAACTTAAAAATATCCAGTTAGGCACTGATTTCTTGGCACCAAGGCCTCCAAGCAGTTTTAGAAATACTTGTTTAAACCCTATAGAGGCCTCTGGAAAAGAAATAAGTAAACTTAAGGAGCACAACACAAAGCAAAAGAACAATTCCAGCAAAGGCTCCAGCAGAAGAAATTATTCTACCATATTATTTTGTGAGTTGTACACTTAAATCATGGCCCATTTTTTGAGCACTTACAAATTTTTCTAAATGCCTGACTCCTGTCTCCTAAAAATAAACAGATACACAATCTAGGATTAAAGAAGGGGAGGAAGGGGGTAGGACTTTTGGTACAATGGTTAACACACAGTTTGAGACTCCTGCATCCCATATCCAAGTGCCTGGTTCCAGTCCTGGCTATGCCACTTTCAATCCAACTTCCTGCTAATGTACACCCTGGGAGGCAGCAGGGGACGGCTCAAGTCCTTGGGTCCCTGCCACCACATGGGAGACCCAGACTGTTCCAGGCTCCTGACTTCTATCTGGCCCAGCCCTAGCTGTTGTAGGCATTTGGGAGGTGAATGAACCAGCAGACAGGAGATCTTTCTCTATCTGTCTCTTGTCTCTCCCTGCCTTTCAAATAAAGTGAAAAATAAATAAATAAATAAAATTTTTAAAAAAGAAAGAGGGAATGAAAATATCAGGATAAAGGGGGGAAATATTATAAATAATTTGGGCCAGGAAGAAATAGCAAATATAAGATACAGGAAATAACAGCTAACTGGAAAGCAACAGAGAATACAGTTAAATGTAAACTGGTAGAGGAAATTCAAAACCAAGATTTAAATCTGAAACAAGAATGAGGAAACAGCAAAGGAAGCATTTGGGGAAGCAAGCAGGGGTTTTAGGACAAATGGCATTCGCATGGGGTATTTTAGGAAAATCAGTACCATGAAATCTTAGTCAGAAATGCAGTGAATTTAATGACTTTTCTCAGATTGTCACAATAATGTAGAAAATATTCCAATTGAAAAAGGAAGAAATATGACATTGGCATTGGTAGTTTTTAGATACATGAAATTCACAATTCGTGGGAAAAGAAACAAAGTCACACATTACTAAAATTTAAAACTTCCGCTCATGAGAGACACTGTTAGGAGAGCAAAAACACAAACTGCAGACAATGAGAAAACATTTGCAAAACACAAATCTGATTAAGGACTGTTCTTCAAAATATACAAAGAAACTCTTAAAACTCAACAAGAACCCAATTTTTTAAGAGGGTTAAGAATCTGGACACTTCACACACACACACACACACACACAAATACAGGGATAGTAAGCAAACACCAAAAATACCACTCAATACCACACCATGTCATGAGGGAACTTGGGCATCAGAACAACGAGATACCACGGCACACCTACTAGGAATGGCTCAAAGGAAAAAAGCTGACACCACCAAATACTGCTGAGAACGCAGAACAGGAACTCATTCATTGCTAGTGGAATGCAAAATGAAGCGGCCACGTGGGAAGACAGTTTAGCAGTTTCTTAGAGCTAAACATAGTCTTACCATATGATCTGGCAATCACACTCCTAGGTATTTACCCAAATGAGTCGAAAACTTATGTCCACACAGAGCCCTGCATGCAAATGTTTAAAGCAGCTTTATTCCTAATTGTCAGAAACTGGGAGCAACCAAGATGCCTTGCAACCAGACAAAGAAGAAACCATGAGACATCCACCAAATGGATGTATTATTCAGAGATAACAAGAAACAAGGTATCAAACCACAAAAAGACACAAAGAAATTTTAAATATATACCAGGGGGTCTTTAAAATGCTCGTGGAAATACATATTATGAAGAAACTGTGCCCAGGGTGCATCTAGTCTGCGTGTACGAGTGGGAGGTGGCAGGCCTCTGGCTGCGGCCTTCCCCGCCCACAGTTCCGGCAACACATCTCTGGCCGTGAAACTGTTTGGTACCCAATCGGTGGGAGCCATGGCGACCCTGTGGCCATGGCCCAAAGTCTGCAGCAATGAGAATCTCAACAAAATTGCTGTGTCTTTGGGTGATTTCATCAAACTGAATGGAGAGGAAGGAAGGAAGCATAATTTTCCAGGGCTAAACAGAAGAATCCAGCAAAGCGTTGCTGACAAATCAGAATGCGAGGCTGGTGGGGAACCCAATAGAGTTTTGGTTTTGCTTAGTCTGGATCATGGAGGAAGACCAGTGCCTGGAAAGAGGTGTCCTTTTGGAGTTATCACTGGCCCTGCAGCTAGGAAGGCAACTGGACTTCGAAAAGGAGTCAGTCCTATGAATCATCCACCTGTAAGCGACTAAGAATACAGAATGATATTTCCCAGTGTTAAAAAGGAAGGCAAACCTTCTGAGACAAAATGAAATGCAGAGGAAACCAGATGCAGTTCTCAAGAGATCTAACCAGTTAAACAGAAAAAAATAGCATTCCAGCTAATTTTACCAAGAGTGGAAATAAATTAAGCCATCAGAAACATACTCGTCAGGCAACTTTGCTTTTCTGAACAGGCCTGAGGGTTCAGGCCCAGCTGAACACAGGACACCTGCGAGATGACGCAGTAGCACAGAGAAGTCAGTGGCAGACTTCTACCGTGAATGGAGGAATTCTGACTGTATCTGTTGGCAGTTTGTGCTGCTGCACCTTCATTCTTAACAAAACAGGAGCAGTAGGATGTAAAAAAAAAAAAAGTCCCTAAAGGTGTCCCCCTACAATCTGACATAAACAAGGTTGGAAAACAGACAGGGATGACCTTGAATGAGTGGTTTTGTGTGCCAAGGTAGTGCTAAGAGTCTCTGGATAGCTGTATTTTATGGTAAAATGCCAAAATGCAGCAAAATATTCCAGCTACCAATTACAACTTCGGTCACTTGAAACTTGACCTTTCAGTTAAAGCCTCTCTCTAAGTAGGTGCTGGGCTTCCCTGGAGTAAATAAGTAGTGTTGACTTTTCCTGTAAAACAAAACAAAGCAATGTATTGCTTCTACTTCATTGTTCTCTCATACTTCTTGAGTTACTTATTGGTTAATGCTAGCCATGGAAAACTATCAGTAACAGTTTCATGCTTATACCAAAGAATAAATCTGATCCTTAGGAGTTGATGTTTTCACAGTACTTCTACTGATATGGGATTATGGGCAGCCAGTCGCAGAATTTGAAAATAAACTCTAGTCTCTTCAGCTATTCAATGTTTCTCATAGAGTCCAAGGATCAGAGACAAAGCAGGTTTGCAAGTATGGATGCTTGCATTTAATCCGGGGACAATATATTTAAGCTTGGTTTAGAATTACTGGCCACCTACTTTAAAGCAAAGGAAGAACAACTGAGCATGAGTCTGTTATCTTTAGAACAGTTTGTGGAAATTCAGCATAAAAAGATGTTTTCATTTTTCCTGAGATTTTAAGTATTTTA